GTCATAAATATAAGCGATTCATTTTCAACATAACCATCTTGGCGTAGGTTGGTACCATTTCTTTCTACAATTCGAATAAAACACAGAATGTACCAGATCAACTCACAAGGCTATTTGCGTTTTTTTGCCGCTTACCTCAGTCATAAATATATACACAACCTTTGACGTCACTGTGATAAAGACGCACCATATTAGCAAAATCTGCAACATATAATGCGCACTTATTCATTGAACATAGAAAACACGAATAAAATATCCCTTCATTTAAGCGTATCATTTTCAAAATCATAACCATCTTGCCGTAGGTCGGTGTACCATTTCATTTCTACAATTAAAATAAAACTCTGAATAAAATGTATCACCTGACCAGGCAATTTGCTTTTTTTATTGTTTATCTCAGTCACAATTACATCCACAACCTATGACGTCACTCTGATAAAGATGTATACCTTATTGGCGAAATCAGCAACATAGTATGCACGTATTTGTTGAACATGGAAAACCCAGATTGAATAATCCCTCCAAAGCGTTTCAATACTTTGTTTCTCGATATATCATTCCATCTTGGCCTAGATCAGTGTACTATTCATTCTACAAATGCATAGAAAATACTGAATAAAATATCATAGCTCACAGAGCAATTTGCTTTTTATTGCCGCTCAACTCAGTCATAAAAAATATAAGCGATCCATCTTCAACATAATTCCATCTTGGCGTAGGTTGGTACCATTTCTTTCTTCAATTCGAATAAAACACCGGATGAAACGTATCAACTCACGAGGCTCATTTTGGTTTCTTTTGCTGCTTACCTCAGTCATAAATATATATACACAACCATCGACGGCACTGTGATGAAGATGCACCATATTGGCAAAGTCTGCAACATAGTGCACAGTGCACGTATTTCTCTTTCTATTTGTCTTGGGACATCCATCAGATGTTTTCATTGGATGTTTTAGAAACATCCCAACAATACCATGGTTCCATATTTGCTAATAATGAATGACATGATTGAACAGTTCAAACAATTGTGACATTTGAAACATTGGAAAGTTGGTAAAAAATGGAAATCAAAACTGTTTTCGTATTCATAAACTTATACCTAAAGCAAAGCCGGCTAATTTCATCGATAACAAATTGAAATAATTATACTAAATATTCCTCAATATGATTAACAAAGTACCTGACTAACTCCATGAACCATGTAATAAACGACAAAATTGAAATATATGTCCTCAGCAAATTTATTGCTGAATTTATTTGTTATACCAGCCGATAGATGGCGGTAAAACTACGTTGCTAAGAGTTACTAACAGCCGTGGGCCCAGCGCCAACAAATATGAGCCTCGAACAACTGTTATCATCTTCCATTAGTCATTGGACCGCACCGACCTTATATTTTCGGATTCTGATTGTTACTTTATATCTGGAAATAAGTCGGTCATTTTCAGGATTTCAGATTGAAAATGATTCATACCGTGTCAACACGCCATTACTGTCATCAAACAAAAAACATCCTGAAAGTTTCTTCAAGATGTTCCATAACAAGTAGGTACCCTGAATGTCTCTGGTATGTACATCCCATATAATCCCACAAACATTCTGATGGGATGTTTATAAGACATCGCAAATGCTGACACGGGTGTTGCCAGCCACATCCCAAGAATGTCCCAAGGAAAATATGAATTTTCCAGAAATGTTCCTATCATCCCATATGGATGTTTCTACGACGTTCTTACAGATGTTATTGTGTTATTAGCGGGTTTGTACCATTTCTTTCTAGAATTAGAATAAAACACCGAATAAAACGTATCAACTCACAAGGCTATTTGCATTCTTTTGCTGCTTACCCCAGTCAAAAATATATACATAAACAATATTTGACATCACTGTCATAAAGATGCATCATATTAGCAAAGTCTGTAACCTAGTGGACGTATTCATTGAATATGGAAAACACAAATTGAATATTCCTTCATTTGAGCGTTTCACTCTCAAAATCATTCTCATCTTGCCGTAGGTCGGTGTACTATCTTATTTCTACAATTCAAATAGAACTCAAAATGAAAGGTATCAACTAACAAGGCAACTTGCTTTTTTTTATCGCTCATCTCATTCATAATTATATCCACAAACTATGACGTCACTGTGATGCAGAAGGACCTTATTGACAGAATAAACAAGTTGAATAATCCCTCATAAGTGTTTCAATAATTTCTTCTCAATATATCATTCCATCTTGGCATAGGTCAGGTTACCATTTATTTCTACAATTCATAGAAAATTCTAAATGAAATATCTCAACTCACAAAGCAATTTGCTTTCTATTGCCGCTTATCTCCGTCATAATTATATCCACAACCTATGAAGTCACTGTGATAAAGATGCACCTAATCATATTTCTTTCTACAATTCGAATAAAACACCGAATGAAACGTATCAACTCACAAAGATCTATTCGCGTTCTTCTGCCGCTCACCTCAGTCATAAATACATACACAACCTTTGACGTCACTGTGATAAACATGCAACATTTCAGCAAAATCTGCAACATAGTGCACTTATTCATTGAACATGGAAAACACGAATTGAATATCCCTTCATTTGAACGTTTCATTTTCAAAATCATTCTCATCTTGCCGTAGGTCGGTGTACCATGGGAGTACCATTCTATTTGTACAATTGAAATAAAACTCCGCATGAAACGTATTTGCTTAATTTCTTTTACTGCTTATCTCAGTCATAATTATTATATCCACAACCTATGACGTCACTGTGATAAAGTTGCACCTAATTGGCAAAATCATCAACAATATTCTTTTTACCTTGTTACATTCTCACTACAGAGATCAATTGAGTTAGAAGGAGGTGAGACGGATCTGAGTTGACGTTTGAAAAAAAAACATGTTTTTATTTGTCAGGAAGGGCAAGGTAAGAAAACATAACCCAACATAATTGAACCAAAATGTAAAATGGCTGAGGAAATTGAAGAGGAGCATAGAAATATTATTGATGTAGTGATGAGTATTCAAAGGATTTAACCTGTGGACTGAAACTTCAAAGCTGAAAGCATGCCAAATTGAAAAGATAACCTCACAATTTTCAGCACAGAACCACAGAATTACTAGAATTAATCCAGTCTCACCTTTTTCTCACTACAACACCAGATGAGTAGCAACAGGTAGGAAGCTCAGTTGGAATGAGGGGGAAGACTGAGCTATTGAGCTGCACTGAGAATCTTCGTTAATCTCAGTCAAAGTTGGTGAAAATAATATTCCTATAGTATACATAGAAAACTCAAATTGAATAATCCCTCATAAGCTTTTTATTTTCGATATCATTCGAACTTGTCGAAGGTCGGTACTCTTTATTTCTTCAATCCAAGGAAAATACCCAATAAAACATCACTTCACCGAGTTTCACTAAACAACTGCGGTCAGTCAAAGCCTGCCTCACACTAGAGTCTAGGTCTTGCACCTTCTGAGGAGCGAACATACCCGAACGTAAGAATGTCCTTGACTCACAGAATTCCTCTAAAAGCGCGCCAATTCATTGTTTGTTGTGAACATAACTATGTGAGGATTGAAATTTTGAATCATTGATGAATATAGAGAGATCCGTATATTAACAACAATTAGAGCTTACATAGTTGAATGTAAAATTAAAATATTTCATGTGGCAGTATAGTAGCTTATTGATGAAAATGCTTTTTGGTCTGCAAAAATCATGATAGATTGTTCCTTTAGACTCCTGATGCTGATTGATGTAAGGCAATATATGTTTATATTTTGATAAAACATTTTTCACTTCACCTCTAGTTGTTCTTAACAATGTGTGCTGTAGGTAGGTAGTTTATAATATGCAGTGCTGTTTTTATAGGACTGGAGATAGATATTCAGTAGTAATATGTACTTCAGAATATTTGGATTATACATCGATAACTTGGATGCAAATTTACAAAGACTGTCAGTTTGACAGTTGAAATACCACGAAACGGGAGGATTATTCTGTTGAACTGACACGATTTGTAATTATGCAGGAAATTCAGATGTAGAGGTACTTATATGAATTTGAACGTTATGAAATTGAAAGACATCATCAACCATGGTTGAGTATCAAAAGAAAATCGAGTAAAAATCTAATGAATAAACCGAATGCCAAAAGAAAGTTCATATGAATTGTAAAGAACTTCGGCACTGAAGTTTTTTGTATCTCCTATCCTTATAATCATCGTTCTTTGAACTTGTTTCAAAAATATTTCTTGGTTGGTACTCTGGTCACAGTTTAATGAGCTCACAACTTTCAAAGAAACATAATTTGCATTTACATGTTGGGAACGGGAGCAGAATCGGTCCCGAAACGTCCAAAGATGAGTAAAAATTCGATATTTTCTCAATATATTTATATTTCTTTCCTTCAAACATTTTTTCAAACAAATTGTCACTGACAGCTACTGGATTTTTCTTTTAGACTTCCTGATAGAAAAATTTGTTAAACGCAGTGACATTTTGGGGCAAATCATCTGATTTGTCCCTCTACAAATATATTGAAATAATACGAATACTTTTTTTTTTAGAAACGGGGAGAAAAATCCCAAAGAATCAAGTAAAATGAATGTACCACCTCCTCGGTTAACCTACAGACAGTATATATGAGAATATTCCTTTTCATTACTGTCACCCAATCAAGGGGTCCAAACTTGAAGGATGGAAACTTGTTTTTTTTATAGACCTCAATCGCTGATTTGTGATTAGGTTTTCTCTATACAGAATTTCCTTCCACGTCCTGTATGAAGAATATCAATACATCCAAGAACTTTTGTATAATATTAATTACGAGTAGCGAGTGGCACTGTAGGCACAAGAAAGAATATCGGTCGTTCTCCCCTCTTCATTCGTCCTCCAAGGATATTATCGTGTCCTCGGGTAAATTCGCCTCCTCTGAAGGTGCTCCCCCTAGACTCTAGTCTACCTCACTGATGACGTTACCGTTTTCCACAGCACCGCCGAAGAAGACCACAAAGCAGAACCAGAAGAAGAAAGCCTTCGCGTCTCTTCGATGGCCCACCTGTAGATTCGGCCGAGTGGTACCTCGTCGATTTGCGAGAACCGGACCAGTCCAAACCCCTCCCCCTGACCAATCACCTTCTGGCCACCAGAAGATGGCCAGACGCCGCCAGAGTGGGGCACTCACTCGAATCCTCACCTGTGACAAGTGCGAATACCCGCGGTGAGATGCAAGTACCTCGCAAGTGCCCGGGTGCAGACTATGAGTGCTATGAGCGCCTATGAGTAGTGCTATGAGCGCCTATGAGTGACTGTGCGGCATGAGGTGGCGCTGATACTGTGCGGGCAGTCATGGGCATGAGGTGGTGCGTTGTGGCCGCCCTGGTGGCTGCGATGGCTGCCCTCGAAGTGGGTGGTTGCGGGCCTGGTAGGGGTGCGGGCAGACGAAGGGGCACGCGAAAACTCACCCCTTTGGTGTTTAAGCAGCACGTGCCGAACGTGCCCGAGAATATCCTGACGGCTAGCGGTTTGGCCGAAGGCAGGATCGGGAGGAACGACAGCCGGTTCAAGGATCTGGTGCCGAATTACAACCAGGATATTATTTTCAAGGACGAGGAGGGAACAGGGGCGGATAGGCTGATGACGCAGGTAAGGTTCTTTTGTTTCGTGCGCGTGCAAAGGCTTTTGTTTTGTCGGGGTTAGCTGGTGATGATTGGGGGACGTTTTTTTAATGGAGGTACAGGGTGAGTCACTCTCACTTTTTGGTTGTACCTGTTTTCATGTTTTTGTCCTCGAACACTCTGGTGGTTCTAAATCACTTTTCATCGATGTTTTTCGTCTGTTTCTGCTGAGAATTTTATATGTGAATATCATTGAACCACTCTGTATGTATATATACACTGTAGAAAATTTATATTTGACTGAATTCTCAACTCAAACTAGATATTTCATCAAGTTATCATATCAATGAGAATGTTTATAACAAATTTGATTGAATCGGTTCATAAATTACCATTTCACACAGTCAAGTAGGGTGAAATTTCAACTCAATCGGGCGTGGACCGAAATTGACTCATTATTGCGTGGACCTTGAGTGAAATTTCAATTTTTTTTTCAGTGTAGGAAGTCCGGTAAACCATGGAATCAGAAAACCAAAACTCGATCTCAGTAAATTTTCATGGTTTTTGAGTTTTGAGATATTGGAAATTTATAAAAAAGTTGATTTTTCAATTCCTATATTATAGTTTATTTTTTGATGTTTTATTAGGCAAGTATAGGGAGCGTTGCATGTTAATTCTTATTTTCAATAAATATCAATGAAGTGAATTTGATCATATTCGTAACAATCGCAGATTAGAAGGCAAATTCACGGTGTACAAAAAAACTTTGAACACAGTTTCACTGTTTCATAAGAGAAATTGTGAAGATTTCAGATCGGAAGATATTGAAAAATCTGGTTTCTGCGATTGTTACTTTTTCCTGATATTTATCGAAAAGACTAAAAAATAACATGAAACGATCCTTTTTTCTGAAACATAAACGAATTATCTGGGATACGAATTAGATTTTTCTATATAATATTTTCACCATCTCCAAAACCGTGAGGTTTCCACTGAGGAGAAGATGTGTTTTTTTGATAGGTTATAAACTTGTTTATCAACAGCTGAAGTATGATTCATGGTTCGTTAAACACCCTTTCTTATCATATTTTTAGTATTCGAATAGAATTTTGAATGACTTTGGGAATGTATCAAAATAATCGGATAAAAAAAGAGGATATCTGTTACTATTCAGGAAGGATCATTGAATTCGATTCCTATTTATAGTTTCAATGGGTGAAATACAGGGTGGCATTGAAATAAGTGCAAATATTTCAAACACTGAGAAAGCTCGACGTGTACTATCGAATGGCACTAATTAAAACAATTTAGGGATCAAAATGAAATTTGAGGTTAGACTACTTTTTCCACCCAAAGTTCAAAACTGTAGCAAATCTGACGTCATCTCTGTTCAAATTTCTATGCGGTAGGCACAATCACGCGGAGTTCAATTATTTAAATTATTTTAAAGTGGCGTAATTGATTTTTTTCTAGTATTTTGGGATGAAATTCCTCGTTAATTAGAAGAATTAGGAAAAATCTGATGTCATGAGAATATTCCTCAGACTGTTTCATATTTATGTGCTGAATAAATGCACTTATTTCAAAAACACCTTGTATATTAAATATTCTAACCAAGTAAAAAGAAGATCATACTCGAGGATAAATAGAATAATTGAGAAAAATATCCAATGTTGATTTGGAATCGTCAAAGTGTCCATAATTCTCACTCATACTAACAATACCGTGAACAGTACTATCTTAACGTTGCCGCAACGCTGAAAAAGTCAAAATTTCAGGAAGGTGAATGAATAATCAACTTTTCAATCGTGTCAACATCAGGTGATCTTCAGTTTTCAAAGAAAGGGTACAATTGGTGGAAATAATTTGAAAAATTATCAAATTCTAAATTTTAATAATCAAATCAGGGTATCTGGAAAATATGAAATAAGTATATACAAGATATGAAAAATGAAAGAGTTAGGGGTATAAATACTGAAAGCTATATAGGTGCATTGAAAATACCACTTATTAACTGATGAGGATAGATATTTACCTAACAAGTGGGGAAAGTACTATTTTCCCACACAAGGTCATAAAAACTACAGAATTATGATAGAAAAGCAGACTTGGAGTTTCTTGAAGATGGATTTTTACTTCAACAATACTGGAGAACGCATTTTGATGATAGGAAAAAACGAGGAAAAAGATGGACGAGAGATGATTGTAGATGAGTCAAATATAAAAAATATAGTTCAATATTCATAATAGAAAATCAAGCCTTCTTGATTTATTCTTTTTCAGAATTCCAATCAGATTCTTCGGGTCAACGTCATTTTCTGATGTAGATGGAAAATTTTCTGTTGGTAGTAATACCATGATTTTTCAAGACTTGACTTATTGATTATTGAAAAACAACTTTTAAAAATTCTCTGTGAATGACAGATCAAAATTGATCAACCCATGGTATAAAAACTGATTTTCTGAAATAATCCATAGCACTTTCAACGGGCACGTTAACTCGATTTGTTTGCTTTGAAGTCATTCTTGGGATTTCGATTTCATTGTCAATCATATCAGCGATCTGTTTTGCTTCGTCGAAATTCTTCTTGATCTGCGCTTCAGCATTTTCTCGCACGTATTTGATAGTGGAGGTTGTTTTTTCGTCTTAATCCGAGTCTAAATCCATCGCGAACGCAAAACTTGAATTCTAAAGTTGAAGATTTTTACACGGAAAAAGAGGATTTGTTGCATCAACAAATTATTTATGTTCAAATTATTTTCGTTGGACTGAGCAATTTTTTGTTGATTCAACCAGATACATGATTATTTCATAATAGCAGCTAGTTTAAATCAAAAATGTAGTCTAATTGAACCAACAGTAACAAAATATATGGTTATCTCAAAAACGAATTATATCGATCCAAAATTATGTCGATGTTGATTCAACTATAAACATTTTGTTGATTCGATAAAATAATGATCATTTTGATGGAAATATATCTTATTCCGATGCAGCAATGAACTCCTTTCGAACGGATCATTTGCTTGTATAGAGCAATGAAATATGTAATATCAATGAAAAATTTAGTTCATTGAGTTAAATTTTCGCCTCTAGATGGTGATCAATTCTCCTCGTTTATGCCTGCCTCGAATTCATTATACTTATACGTGAAGCCTGATTCTTCGTATTTGAAATATCAGCTAGATAAATCGAACTTAGAATGATTCGCAATCCGAAATAGTTTTGCATCAGCTGAAGAGTAGTAAAGACTGGAGATCTATGCTACAGAAGTCGACTAGTTTCCTAATTTAGTTTATTCTATTGATGGGATATTCAAGAAAATTCCCGAATCAATACTGAATTTGGTTCAACAAAACAATATGTCAAATGGAAATACAGTTTTCTTTGAATATTCAACCGAATAATTCATTGAATCAACCAAATATTTCTTTAAATCGACCAAATATTCCATTGAATCAACTGAATATTTGATTGAATCTATATCTTGTTATTTTGAATCAAACAAAATGATTGTTTGAGCCAATTCATAAACAATTCATGGATGTGCTTGATTGAATAAGATCCAGATTTTATGCAAGACATATTATTAAGTTAATTCAAACTTCAAATTCGCTCTGAAACAAGATATAGATTTAGTCACTTCAAGATTGAATTTCATTCAACAATTCTTTTTTCTTCGTGTTGATAAAGGAATAGGAGAACAATTAAATGATGAATTGTAACTGGGCCACATTTGCCCCTTTGGGTGCGCTAATGAATTTTGTAATGTATTTAACGTTATCATCATCCTAGTATTTTATTAAATTTCGGTGTGAAATTTTGTTACTGAATATCACCATATAGCTTCAATGAAAAATCGGAAATTCTATCTCGAACAAGAATATTTTGAAAATTTTTCCAAGTCGAAGAAGAAGACTCGAAAACATATCCGGTAATAATTGAAGCTCTGGTGGTATTGAAAACTTCAAAATTTGGAGGATGGGTCAGCTTCCATTGAAGCGCCTGCTACAGAAAGTGAAAAATAATGAGCATACCAAGATGGATAAAGAATATGGTGTTGCTACACAAGGAAATAATATAGCTGAAATGGTTTGATGACGCTAAATTTAGGGGACACAGCATCTGCTAGAAGTGCTTTTGAGTTCTCATCAGAATCTATAAGCAGTTTTTCTGATCAGTCCGTCTAAAGCGACTTTGCTTTAAAAAATAACAAGAGGAAATCTTCTCATGATTTTTTCTACCTGCTTAGGAAACACCTATATGAATGAGTGAAATTGTCTACGTCTCTATACTGTATGTTCGTGATTTTCTGATTTTATGGATAACTATCAGTGAATAATTGGTAGTGTTCAGTTGATAATTCCAGTATAATTACAGGAGTAGATTCTCATCCGAACATGCAGTAACAAATTTCTCAATAAAATTTCGTCGTTTATGATAATTATTAATTTTTATGAGATAACATCATTTACAATTAGGAATGGAATCATTTAATTTGGCAGATACCTGAAAATGAGTATCGCACAAATTGAAAGGTGAGATATCACTTTGTATATTAGATATATTTTTCAAATTAAAGCATATAAGATTTGAATCTACTGAACCTAAAATATTTCTTTTGTTTTATTCTAATAATTTCAATGCTCACGATTGTTTTATTCGTTTTCAAGTTATTTGATGTTATCCAATTAACATTGATCATATATCAGTTGTTCCGACGATATATAATTTTGGATTGAGTAGAGCCTCGAGTAGAGTAGTATAAGTCGCAAATATATATCAATTATTAAATCATATATACCTATATGCGTATCAAAATATTATTAAGGACATTACTAAAATTAAGTGGATCAAATTCCATCTTTAACTATATATATACTTTCTGCTCTACCGAACCATGTATATCAGTATATATAGTATAAACGAGATGTTCTTGAAAAATGTACATATTAATTTAACACAGCATCAATATGATACACTCTAACGAATATTCTCGAATTGAACAAAAAAGGGCAAAAAATCAA